GTGCTTGCAAGGTATTACACGGCGCCAGTTGAGAGCAGTATTTGGGACGAAAAAATATACATATTTATTTTAAGTGCTTGCTCGTTATTTGTATCCTTGAAAGAACCAATATGAGCTTCCTCAAAACAACGCAGAAGGAACTCAAGAAAGCGTTGCGACTCATTGAGTTCAAGTCATCACCCCTACAACTGTAAATGAAACTCCTGATGCCGATCAGTCAAAGTGTCGCCATCCTCGTGGACGAAAACATTGAAAACATTGCATCAAGAAACATTGAACGCTGTTTACCAGTATCGGCTACCAGTCGATACTGGCAAACAGTATTCGCTAGGTATCGGCTACCAGGGTAAAAGTCGTTCACCAACCTTGTTTAGCTGTTTGACCTTGAGTCTCAACAGCTCCATCCTCTGGTTACTTGCCAGACGGGCCGATACACTTAGTAGAGGAGCAAGTTCATCAAATTTCGCTTCCAGTACTCGGATCGCCTCTGACTGATCTGAACACAAAATTCGCATCGTTTTCCGCAAAAAGTTCACCCTCTCAAAAAAAGTCATCGCAAGGATGCCAGATTAAGGGCGGAACACCCCCCCCATGCCAAAATCGAACCCATGCCCTTTGCTTTCTGGGCACTTGTGCTATGCATTGTTGCACAAGTGCATCGATGCACAGATTTAAATGGTGTATTGACCTTGGTTTATCAGCACTGCGTATTTCACGATGAGCCAGTTAACTGATAATCCTTGTGATAACATTTGCAATGCAAACTGCAAGTGTTGTTAACAATCAAAAACCTTGAAGTGTGTTGGTACGGTTTCCGATTCCAGCCATTGCGATCGCATCAAGTCGCTCCAACTCTTGTTCCCATTCGACCCACAAGCTACGAAGTGTCCAAAGATTCGTCTTCATAGAATCGAAGGCTCTTAGAACCTCTTCGGCACGGCGACCACATGTCCTAACCATGCTGTCACCATCCAGTTTTGTGTCTAAAAATAACTGTTTTCGATTATGCGTCCTCCACTTGCCTAAAGAGGAATTTTGTGTAAAGCAAATAGAATCTGCAGACAACGCACGTGGCTCATCAGCTATAGTTTTCCTGAGATCTTCAATATAATGAGAACATTTCGAACGAGGGTTCTCTTTTTCTAGCTGACTGTACTCTGTTATCCATCGATTCAAAAGTTGAAGACTTTCAGCAGAGCTGAAAAAACATGTTTTCCTGATCCTTCAACGTTCCAAAAATAAAGTTGAGGCTCAACTGACCTCCACAACCTCATCTTGCTCTCTATTTCTTGAAGGTATGCGAGAAGTGTGTAATGAGCATAAAGTATTTTCAGAGTGGCCAACTTCAATGGGGCTTCATCAGCTAATGTTGTCATTCGAATTCGTAACGGTTCCACATATTCCGCAGCAACTGGACGACCACCCAAACCTCCAGACTAAACCAGAAGCAGTTAGTTGAAAAGAAGACTGCCTCATTCGGCGAAAAAAGGTTCAGTCACATACATCAGCTGCTGTATTCAGCTCTTCCATCTTGGCAGCCATATCGATAAAGTGACGCTAAAAAAGGCGAAATCAAGAATACATTTGAAAGCACTTATAACAAGGAAAGGCTCTCAGGTCGCCATGGCCATTCAAGAAGAGATGTATACCGCTAGATGTGCCTTGAACGCTGATCTCAAATCTACCTTCCAAATCTGCTAAACGATTCTCTGAACGGAGTTATGAAGCAAAACAGCGCACGGTAGTGGTCGGGACTGCAGTCAAAACGTCGTAGGATCGGTCCCTCGAGGTCACTGTTTCTCATTCTTCAGGAATACAGTTGAACGACCCTTCACTAGCCCATTTAACCAAATTCGTTGAAGTAATGCAAAACAGTAACTGCGATAAGGGACCGATACCGCAACATTTTTACTGTGAGTGCCGACCACTACCGTTGCGCTGTTTTGCTTCATAACTCCGTTTGTAGAGTTGTTCAGCAGATTCGGAAGATAGATTTGAGATCAGCGTTCGAAGGCACATCTGAGCGTAACACCATCTCTTTTTTTGAATGGCCAATGGCGCCCCTGGAAGCTTTCCTTGTTTAGCTGCCACGAGTTATAGCACTCACATTGTGCTCTGAGATCATCATTTTCTGCAATATAACAAGACATTTCTGTGGATTTTCCGTTGGCAGATTCAGCGGAGTGTTGATAATTGATTGACCGGTAGCTGTCCAGACGGAAAGTGAAGAATATGGCTTAGGTAGTCGTTTCTGCATTCACTGCGGTTGCTTCGAGATTATTACGTATAATTTCCCATCTGAACGAACTTCTGCAGGTAAAGGCCTTTATTCTCGTCTCAGAAAACCATTGCCCAACGTTAGCAATAGGCAAGACTAATATCAGAAGTATATGAGATGGCAACTTTGAGAACATCGAAAAATTCTGTGTAAATTCTCGTATCCAATTCTGACTCATGTGCTCTTGCCAAATTAACTTTTACCACTGACGCTAGCTTTATTTGAACAGTGCTCCGCTAAATAAAAACACTTCATTGACGATTGTAATTACTATCTTTATTAGCTCACGAGCCGTTATTTATGTACTGGCATCGGCACGTCCTTGCTTGTGATCTCAGTCCGTAGTTCGCCTAACCAATAGATGCCATCTCTAACCAGGTATAACCAGCACTGCGAAAAGTCCAGCTATCTACTTCCAGTCTCTTGAATAATAAGATCAAACATTGACTAATTCTAGAGTAGATATACGTATCGAAATTTTGAGAGCTAGTGCACACATAATAGTTATTAGCTATAAGGCTACGGATATCAATGAACTCTCGGCGTCCCACGGAAGTACATCTGAAATAATCATCACTTTGAAGTGGAAAGACCAGACTATAAGCGCTCGACTCAGTAAAATGTGCGCTTAAGCAAATACACGACATGCGACTACCTTTGGTGTTTTTGGTAGGTCCGGGCGCGATTTGTACCTTGCACCTTCACACCGTTCCCCCCCCGTCATCTCGGGGCTAAATCGCGGGCGTGTCCACGTGCGCATCCCAATATGGCCTGCTACCACTCATCTCCGGGATTTTGCACAGAGTTAATAGTAAAAAAACATAACTAACACAAAGTAATCTAGTAATCCATAAGACGTTTATATCATAGCTGAAATAAAAAAAAAATGTAAAACGGCAAAAAAAAAAAAAAAATAAAAAAAAATTCACACTGCAGCAAAATGGCTTGGTAGGCTAATAATGCCTGGCAGCCCATATGGCTTGCCACGCGAGAATTTGCAATATTTAAGTTCGTTCAAGTCAATGTTTTCTGACACTATGCACTGATGGTTGGTTTCTGGATGACTAATGAAGCGTCACCTTACGGTGCACAGTAAATAAAGTATAATGTATGCTATACGAAGTTATTACGAAATAAATAAATAAATAAATCGATAAATGAATGAAATGAGTAAAAGTTTCTATGTCATACCCCTTGTTCGTTGTTTCTCAGATCCAATTGGCTTGTGAAAGCAAGCCATTCCAGAAATTCTGTGTGCACATTGTGCTCCTCGACAGGAGCAGGCTTTCCATAAGTTCGGACAAATTGTGAAACGTAAGTAATGATGGAACGTTTGTCCGGCTTCGCACACAGTACATCATCAATCTTAAACAACGTACAGTAATACTGCTGAATATTTCCATCTGAAGCCGGTGTCAGACTTTGCGAATACGCGATTCGCGAAGTCTGACACCTGCCCAACCACGTTCAAAGCATGAAATTCACCTCCAACAGTTTACTAATGCCCAAATGTTTGTGAGCCAATTCAAATGCATTTTCCAGATTCTCTCGCGGTTCAGTTGCCCGCACTTTTTCCATGTCCACCACATCTGGTTTCCATCTGTGAACTAACGCATTGAACATGACACCATCTTTCCAATCACGGTCCATGTTCTCCACTCGCATATTCAATTTCCTAGGAGTGTATTACATTACGAGGCGTAAAAATGGGAGGTGTGCTAATGTCCGGCGTCAAAAGAGACAAAAGTTGAGGCATTTCAAACACTGACTGTGCAATTTCGGAGTTGATCCACCTCAGCATGACCTGTTCGACTGAACCTTTCATGTGTTTCACTGATACTTTTGGACTTTCGGCTGAAGTTGACGGACCCGAAGAAAGGAATGAAGCTAGCCGGCTCTTCATTGGTGATGAGGACCGAACAGGAGTGGATTCTCGCGAATATTGTACACTCGTGGAGCCCCAGCCCCACTCACGTAGCAAGGCCATATTGCTCTCAATCTGAAATTAGTCGCATTAGTACATTCGTGCACTGCTGTGCATCAGTGGAGATGCTGTTTTTTGTAGTCACTGGTAACAGTTGCTTGTGACCACAAAAACGCGACATATCCACCCACCCACTTGCCACCGTCAGGTGGTTTCAGACGCACCGGAACTACTTCACCTCTATTATTAGACAGGATCTGGATGATCTTTACAAAAAGGGTCACTTAAAAGTCATAACCCGACTTTACCATCCTGTACACCTCGCAAACCGTGCACCAAGAGTGAATAACAACGACAGGCTGCAGGGTTCTAGCCACTAAAACGATTCCACTAATCGTAAAATTACCATTTCAACTACCGTAGAACGAGCAAAAAGAAGCGCAGAAGAGAATATGTGTTTTAAGTCGCACACATTCCTACTAATACATATTAACAAGTCAAATTCCACATATCGTTGACGAATTCATGGAAGCAAAAAAGCAAACGGAGTCAGTGTTCACGTTGAGCTTACTTACGACTTTTGTTCTCCAAAAAAAGTTATTTGAAAAATGGGTGCTAACTTAGTTGGGGGACCACGCGGCGGCGCGGCGCTTTGC